TTAGATGCTCAACATTTTTTAGCATCTAATGATTTGTAGTTAAAACACACACAAATATCCACATAGACTGCAACAGAGGACGCAAACAACTGGAATTAATGGGTAACACGCAACAACTGCTGATTTTAAGCCATGGTTGTGGCATTCTAACTGTAAAATAAACCTAAAATCATAAACTACAAGCTAAGACAGCAACTAATCTGTCTGCTATTTTCCTGATGATTCCATTAGTCGTTTATAAAAAGTCAGAAAATGAGGGAAAATGCTGATCAGTGTTTGTTAAAGTGTCTTGAGATTCAGTTTATCATCACAGAGGAGGAAAATAATCACATTTAAGAAGCTGGAATCTGAGGATTTCCTCTGAAAGACGTCTCAAACGATGTAATCAGTTCATTTACTAGTCGACTACGAACTGATTAATGGTTGCAGCTCTGCCACAAAACCCCAAACCAGCACATGGGCAGAGATAGGCAGGATGTGCGTCTTGTTTGCAGCTCAGAGCTCAGCTGTACCTGCATTCAGCAGCCCCATCGATTGTCCTCTGAGGAAGCAGGTGTCCGTCCATTGTGTGTGTTGTTTTGTCCAGCGCTGCCGTGCGAGCGTGGCGGCTCGAGGGCAGCTTTAAACACTGTGATCATTGTTTTCATATTTATATTAATGTAGAAGGTGCAACTGCCCACCGGACCGCAGAGACGCTCATTAGCTCGACTCGCAATGAAACAGAAAGCTCACTGAGACTCTTCTCAGCTACTCTGCAACCAGACATGTTGTGGTGAGAAGGCCTGATTACACTGATATTAGCCTGAAACTGTTTTTAAACGAAGGGGAACAGGAAACCTGCAGAGCTTGAATAACACTTTTCAGTTGGATGTGATGTAAGTTGTGTGACTGAAGCTTGTTCCTACTAGAGACACATGACACTGTAAAATATGTGAAACTATTCATGCAGAAAACATAAACACATGAATGCAGTGAAAATAGAGATCTCTACTTCAGAAGTATTAACAGAGAGAGACAACTCTTACCTGTAGCTGCAGCAGTCAGAGGCTCAGATTGTCCCAGATCAACCACTACACAGCAGAACAGGGACACAACTCAGCCGCCACATCCTCCAGTGCTGCTGCTTTTCAAAAATAGACGCTCCAAGTGTACAGGAGAAAGAGTGTGTGCTGCAAAACAGGAACTCAGTGAGTCTTTATACCCAAGTAGTTTACATAAGACACTGTGCTGATGCTGGAGGAGGAGTCTTCAGCTCGTTTGTCACGGCTTGTTTAGAACCACACGCTGCCTTGACGGTGGAGTACACTGGTAGTTTATGGAGATTAATGTCGAGTTACATCACCGCTAAATGGCTAAGACACATTTTTACAACCGTTTATCTATAGTTTTATAAACTTAACGTGGGAACACACCCACATTGTGCTGCTAAATAACATATTATGTGGTTAAAAAGAAAACATGTTTTCAATACTTTTAATCATCTGTTTGACATAATGGTCCAGTCAGAGGTTGTGTGTTTTTAAACAGGCCAAACGGATTTAGTTTACACTCACAAATCATAGAAAACATACAACAAAAGCAAACAGTTGTGACTAAATAATATATTCTTACAATTAATCGTTACACAATTGGTGTAGAACTAGTTCAGTTTCAATCTGTGCTGTTTGTTGATACTTTACAGTTATTGCCAAAAAAAAGGAAGTAAGCTTACCTCAATATAAATGTGTTGTTTTTTTCACATTCTGTTACTTTATGCTATGTTCAGTTAGGCTGCAAGGTGTCTCGGTGGTTAGCACTGTTGCCTCGCAGCTAGAAGGTCGCCGGTTCGCGTCCCGGTGAGGACACCCGGGATCTTCCTGCGTGGAGTCTCCATGTTCTCCCCGTGCAGCGTGGGTTCTCTCCGGGTTCTCCAGCTTCCTCCCACAGTCCAGAAACATGCTGAGGTTAATTGGTGATTGTAAATTGTCCGTAGGTGTGAATGTGAGTGTGCTTGGTTGTCTGTCTCTAAGTGTAGCCCTGTGATAGACTGGTTACCTGTCCAGGTGAACCTGCCTTCACCCTGAGTCAGCTGGGATAGACTCCAGCCCCCCATGACCCTGGTCAGGATTAAGGTGTAGAGATGATGGATGGATGTTAAGCAAGATTATGTCACATTCTGTAATTTGATGCTATGCCAGGGCTCCATACTAACTATTTCAGAAAATTTTTTTTTTTTTGTTGTTTGCTTGAGATAATATCAATCAAACTGAAGTCGAGTGGATTTGATTCAGTAGAAATGACAAAAATACAGATAACTTGAGTTTGATTGATATTGTCTCAGGTAGACGATGGAAAAGTGGGTTTTCTGAAGGTTTGTGAAGATGGAGTTCTCTGTTTTCATTTGTCTCCTAAACGCCTCACAGTTCACGGTAGCTGCTGTTAGTATCTGTGGTGCTCAGACAGGTGTGACCAAACATGACTTTAAAAACAATAAACCAGGGCGCGCTAATGTCAGATTTGCCCAACATGACACTGAGTGATTCTTTTTACATGTGGTCTTTTCTATGAGTGGAATAAACAGCGCATGTCGGTGCTCAACATTTATCATGAGAAGACCTCATTTTTAAGCACAAATAGCGCAGTAGACCAAAGTTATAGAAGCACTACTTTCCAACACAACACAGCAGCTGACTGCGGCTACGGCGACACATGTACTCATGTACTAATGTGACCACTTTACATGTTAACTGGCAGACGCTCAAATAAAGGCCCTGCATGCTACGTTCTGTCAAGTTTACCTATGTCATATACTGTTATCTTATGCTAAGCTAAGCTATGCTATATTCTGCTCTGTTCTGTTGTGCAGACATACATCGTGTGGGAGGTTCTAGTTTGTGTCCGTTGGTTCTGTGACACCCAGTGTGTTTCTGGGTGACTTCAGGGCTGAATGCAGTCTAATCACTCTCTGCTTCCCTCTGCAGGTGACACACCGGTCTGGGGATGGGTCAGATTCTACATTTAGGATGTTTGCACTGACATACTTCATGCATACATCACACACACACACACCACTGACTCTACTGGTTTGGCACGGGGGTGGCAGCATCATGTTGTGGGAATGTTTTGGTGCACTTCACACAATAGATGGCATCATGAGGGAAGAACATTCTGTGGAAATATTGAAGCAACATCTCCAGACATCAGCAGGAAGTTAAAGCTTTAAATGGGTCTTCAGATGGACGATGACCCTCAGCATAGCACCAGATTAGCTACAGAGAGGCTTCAGGACAACAGAGTCAGTGTTGTGGAGTCACAAAGCATTGATCTCAGTCCTGGTCAATCCAAACCAATTCTGTCAGGAGGAACGGGCCAGAACTCATCCAACTATGGGGAGAAGCTTGTGGAAGGAAAACGTTTGACCCAAATCATGCAGTTTAAAGGCAACGGTATCAGATACTGAGGAGATGGATGGAAATTTCTGAGTTCTCTTCTCTCATTATTCTGGCGTTTAGCAAATAGAAGTAATGTTGGTAATCCTAACTGACCTAAAACATGAAAAGTTCAGTCTGATTTAATGTCAGACGGTGAGAAAAAAAAGCTTTTATGTCTTGTTATGTGCAACTTCTGATACACACACAGACATATAGCTCAAGCAAACTGTTCAACATTTTATATTAATGCTTGTATGAATATTTAAGAGCATTTTTGGGGGTTTAAACTCATGTTTAAAGGTTATTTCAAACCACATATATACTATAAACCTATGAAACACATAATACTATAGACGACACTGAAAACAGTAAATGAAGTTATTCAGAAACTACTGTCTAGATTTTTCTACATTCTCTCAGTTGAAGCCTTTAGATTTATGACTTTCTGACGCTCAGGACGGTTTATCAGTCAGGAAACGATCGACAACTAATGTTTGCGCAACAAGTTTACTTCCACTTGCGAGAGCTGCAGAGACACTAATGACACAAACGGGGAGACACAGTTTGCAGCATGTGGTTGCAGAAGAGCAGCTGACTCACCAGCTGATGATACAGATTGCACAAGTCAAACCACCGGAGTCACTGATAAGTCTTCTAAATGCATCCTGTTGTTCTGAGCTATGAATACATGTGTATATTCAAACTAGAAGCACATTTCTGAGCATCACTCAGACCAAAGTCCTGCCTTCTTCTCCCCTCATGTGGTTCAGATAACTCACCAGAAGATGTCGCTGCTCTCTCTCCATCCTGAGACACCCACCAGGCTCCGACTCCTCTCCTCTCCTCAATGAGCGGACCCCCTTTTTTCTATTATAACAGAGAGGGAATGGGACAGACAGAGATAGAGGTGGGCAGAGGTGTGACTGAGTGGACAGGCAGAGGCAGAGGCAGACTCAGAGCCAGCTGGGCTTTTGCCATATCTTGTTTTTATTTTGTAATTTTTCAAAGAAGGAGGGAGAAAAGTTAAAACTATAGTATTTTTTGCTTTTTTTTCGTGCGTAAACGGGATAGGCTGCTTCTCCAAATTCTTTGGAGTTGTGCTTCACTTTCAGGCTGAGCAGTGGGCTAAATTTGGAGGTAGTGGTCTGGGTGGAGTTTTCTTTGCCTCGTAAGAATATTTTTCTCTTCCATGTCCTGATATTTTCTACCTTGTGTGTGTCTGAGCATCATTTAAGTGTGTTATTAGCCGTGTGGATTTCCTCCTCACTGCTGTCTCTGGTGCTGTTAACTGACTGTTTTGTCTCCATTACATTTCAGCGCAACAGTCCCTGCGGCGCACGGATTACAATGCAAAGGATTTTGGAGATTTGGGTCACCTTGGTGACAGTTTCTGCGCTGACCAAGGGCGCCTTTGGAGGATACGGGCTCAGCATGTTCGCAGCGCAGTCTTCCCCTCCCGATCCGTGCTATGACGAGAACGGGAACCCTCGGAGATGCATCCCCGACTTCGTCAACTCCGCGTTTGGGAAGGACGTGCGCGTATCCAGCACCTGCGGCAACCCGACCGCCCGCTACTGCGTGGTGACCGAGAAGGGAGAGGAGAGGACCAGGGACTGTCACACGTGCGACGCCGCGGATCCCAAGAAGTCCCATCCACCTGCCTACCTGACGGACCTCAACAACCCGCACAACCTCACCTGCTGGCAGTCGGAGAACTACGTGCAGTATCCGCAGAACGTCACCCTCACCTTGTCTCTGGGGAAAAAGTTTGAGGTCACCTACGTGAGCCTGCAGTTCTGCTCACCCAGACCTGAGTCCATGGCCATCTACAAGTCCATGGACTATGGCAAGTCGTGGGTGCCGTTTCAGTTTTACTCCACTCAGTGCAAGAAGATGTACAACCGGCAGAACAAGGCGACGATAACCAAACAGAACGAGCAGGAAGCGATCTGCACGGACTCCCACACGGACATGCACCCTCTGACAGGTGGCCTCATCGCCTTCAGCACCCTGGACGGCAGACCGTCGGCGCACGACTTCGACAACTCCCCGGTGCTGCAGGACTGGGTGACGGCCACCGACATCAAGGTGATCTTCAGCCGGCTGCACACGTTCGGAGACGAGAACGAGGACGACTCGGAGCTGGCCCGAGACTCCTACTTTTACGCGGTGTCTGACCTGCAGGTCGGAGGAAGGTGCAAGTGCAACGGACACGCTTCGAAATGCGTCAAGGACAGAGAGGGGAATCTGGTTTGTGAGTGCAAACACAACACGGCGGGACCGGAGTGCGACAGGTGCAAACCTTTCCACTATGACCGACCCTGGCAGCGCGCCACGGCCAGAGAGGCCAACGAGTGTGTCGGTAAGACATCCATTCTATTTGTCCTTCACTGTGGAGATATTTTAAATCCCTCTTGACTAAGTTGCAGTTTTCATTTTACTGCAGGTGTAACAAAAAAAAGTGTGGCTATTTTGCTGATCACTGTTTTCTGTCATTACGCGCAAAAATTAAGCTCCAAGCAGCTGTTTATTCGTTTCCAAGAATTTCACTGGGATGAAACACAAATCCAGCTTCCCTCAGAGGTTCATTTCCTCAATTTTAAAATATCTCAAAGTGTCTACACTGTATGAAATGTGTATTTTACGCACAGGCCGATATTTAAGAAACGATCTGACCTTAATTTATTGCGTAATTAATTTGATAAATAAATTCTAGTGGAGGCGCAGAGACAGGAAGGCCTCATGTGTCAGGAGCAAAGTGAAATTGTGGGAGCTAAAAAACACACTTTTAACTGAGGGGACAGTTTAGTCAAACTAAATAAAGTATTTGATGGAATAATTTATCCGAAAATTAAGCTCTCTTCCTGCAGGTTATTATTTTAAAATTCCAAAACAAAATAAAGTGAGGTGCATTTGCATAAAAACATTAAAGGTCTAAATTAAGTCCAAGATTCAAAAATTCGATTTTTAAAAAAGAAATTTATTGAAAGTTAAATGTTCAGACTTATAAATAATTTCCAGGAGACAGAGCTGCATGCTTCCTGCGCGCAAAGATAAAATTTTAAGAATAAAAATCTGAAGTGTTGTTTTCCAGACTCTATTTATTTGTGCAGTAAAAACACCGCGTGAACTTTGTCAACCCCCCGATTTTTATCAACAATCAGAAGAAAATTCATGAATAGCAAAGAAAAGGCAGGAAGTCATTTCGATAAACAAAGTGCGCCTGTCCAAATGCGTAATTGCGTTTTGACCCGCGCTTCCGACTGTAGTAGCGGCTCTAATAGGAAGGAAACATTGCAGCTGCAGAGATAGACTGCAGGGGCGTGTTGTGTTTCCATAAGCAGGTGCTATTACAGATTGGATGGGCGATTAGGGCGGTTTTATTGACATTTTTGGCACGTAGAGTATAAACTGCCACTTTAGAGGCGGTAAACTATTCAGAGAGGAGGACAAAGCTGGAGGTAATTTGAAGCCAGATCTGAGTTGGGGCTTTTTTTTTTTCTTCTTCTTTTTTTAAATTTATTGTAGAGCGAGTGTATTTGCTGTGATGCTTATTTTCAACAGAGCAGGAGAGCTTATATCAACAAGTTCAAGCCCCCCCTGAGCTTCCAGAACCTGGAAAAGTAACAAGCCCTGACTCTGCCATGGTTTGCTCAACCAAACGGAACAAGTGAACAAGTTGTTCCCTTTGGCCTCCGCCTTTCGCCTCTGCAAAGCCAGCATGTGAGTGTATTTTACTAAAACAAAAGGCTGTCACTTGTGGCATCCATCTCGCTGTCAGTGGGAGGCCCTCCTACCCCCCCACCCACCACCCCTTTCACCATCTCACTTTTTTCTTTCTTTTTTTTTGGTGTGTGTGAGTGGTGTCATCAGATAGAACCGACCCAGCAAAGAGGAAATAATAAGGGTGGCCTGACACCTTAGCATGAAAGAAGAAGACCCGGGGGAGGGGTTGTTTCCATTCAGCACCACACGGCCCATATGGTCTGGCAGTGGGGATGCAGAGCGGGCCGGTGCTAATGATCTGTCTGGATTTCTCCTCCCTCCCTCCCTGCTGTAGGACGTTAGGATGTTGAGGGGAGAGTGAGAAGGAGAGGTGCGGTTCTGGGAGACTTGGTTTCGCTTATTGGCGACAGGCACCAAGGAAGCAAGACAAAAGTTGTTTCCCATGACTTTGCGTGCGGGGTTGCCATCATTTTTGTCATGAGGCATTTATGTTGGCGAGAGCGGCCCTCGCATTCCTATCAGCTGGAGGTGCGTGACGGACAAATGCGTCCATAAAACGAGGGGGCAGCAGGGTCCCCACCCAGGAATCTGACCGGCCACCTCTGGTAGCCCTCCAACAGGCAGAATGTGAGGCCCTGAACCGCAAACCGGCTACAGGTTCAGATGTAGAACAGCTGCAAAGGTGGTGAGCACAAGGAGGCGGGAAAGGTGATGCAAAGGGACACTGAGTAGCTGCACAGGCAGGGGCGGAGCCAAGGGGTGGCCCAAGGTGCCCAACAGCCCAATAGTGAAGGGCTCCATGTACACTGATAGAACTGGAGGTACATGCTAATGCTAATGTCATTTAAAAAACTAGTAACTAATAACTTGGAAGATTTTCATCGATTGAGGATTATGCAAAAAAAGTTAATTACATACGAGTCCTTGTGGTGTACCTCTACGTCTTACCTGCATGAACAAATGACGAATGGGCTACCTGGCCAATAGTGTTTTGCTATGCAGGAAAAAAAAAAAGTTTTTGTGCCACCTTAATGTGAGTAACGGTGCAGCAACACCTAAAAAAAAAAGATTCTGTCTCCGTCATGGTGCGTAGAGATGAGAAATGTGCATAAACAGATGCAAAAATGAATATAAACAACACAGCTGGCTTTTTAGAGGAACTTTGTTGACATTATTTTACACTATAATAGAAGAATTTCTTCCTTCTGCATCGTAAATATTACTGATGTAACACCTGCTGTTCATTGACTATCATTTCTTCGCAGTGCTTTAAATGCTTTAAATCTGTGCCCCACACCAGAAACTCCACCTCTGCACCAAATTAAAACCCCGTCTAATTCATTAATGCATGATAATGTTTGACCACGACCCGTAATCATTTATCCAAAGGAATGAATGAGGTTGGGAAACACACACACACACACACACACACACATATGGCGACACGTCAGGCCCTCCTGTCCCGGGCAGCTGCTTCATATTCTCTCCATGTTCGGCGTAGCGCTGACCCCTGACAGTCAGGCCCCCGCTCCTCTCCGGCCTGACTGATGGGCTGTGAAGGGAACTGTGGGAAACTGGGGCTTGCCAAGTGGGTTTTGAGGCGAGATGAAAATGGTAGCCTCGCTCGCTCATACGTGTAATTTTGCACTTGTTCAATTTCGGCTTTGTTTTTGCTGTCACGCTGCCATGCGATGTTCTGTTTTACTACGGTCATAAGTCAGCTGGAGGTCCGAGCCCGTCGCGTTTCCTCTCACGTTTTTTTGATGTGCTCTCGGAGCGCACTTTCACGGCTCTGCTCTCGTACGGCTGGAAGAGTTTTATGTGGCTTCAGGTGTGCTTCATGTGAAAGACGTTTTCTGGGAGAAACCTCTGATTTCACGAAGGCCAGCCGGTTGTGTGGGACCTGAGCTGCTTTGATCTCACTTATTGTCAGATCGCATTCTGGCTTTTATTAAGCTCAGTTAGGACACGACTGGAATAATCGGCTGCTGGTTCTGCTTCCAGTTGTAGAAAACAGAATCTAAATGCATGTTTGTGTAACTTAAAGTCGAGTAAAATCAGTAGTGTGACTCTGGTTTAGATGCAGCTTCAACAGCTGCCACATGAACTGAAAGTGCCAGATGTGCACTATCACCTGCATTAAAGTTGATTTTAAATGAAGTGGCAGTGTTTGGGTCAAGCCATTTTTATCATCAGTTTAGCTGCTCTATGATCTTTCTGTCTTCCAGTGGAGCTGCCAAAAGCTGCAAACAACTAAACTGAAAGCTGAAAAAAAGTCCAAATTCTCTGATTCCAGCTTCTTAAATGTGAACATTTCCTGGTTTCTTTCCTCCTCTATTAACTGAACATCTTTGGACCAAAACGAGACATGTGAGGGCGTCATGTTGGGCTTCAGGAACCACTGAGCGACTAATCAATCGATCGATTTGCTCGGTGCAGCCAGTTTACTTCCTGTTTGCATGAGTGAGAGGAAACGCTGGCAGGAGGAAACTCTCAACACAAGGACGCCACATTCACCGCACAGCCGCTCCACATCTGAGCTCCGCTGTTCGGTTTCCAGCCGCGATGATTTCGGACCCGTCTTTGTCAGTTTGGCTGAATGGGACCGCTGACACTGTTTCTGCTGATGGTGCCACCCGCCTCCTCCTCCTCCTCCTCCTCCCCCCCAGGGTTGCCAGGTTAGGCCGGGCCAGGCCTGCTCACCATCTGGGTCTCATTTCAGCTCCACGGCAGCGGCCCATGTGACGGGAGAGAAGAATTTTTGTGAAGCATGATGTCATAGACTTTCTTGTAATAGAAGCTGCATTTTTGGTTCCTTCACTCCGCTGCTCTCTCCTCCTGTTCCTCCTCCTTCTTCTTCTTCTCCTCTCTGCGAGCCAGCAGCAGGGCGACATTTTCGGTTTGGTTGGTAAGCTGAGGCGTATTTGTGGGTTTTGATTTTTTTAATTCTGAATTTCGGCAACAATAGCCAGAGGAGCCGACTACTTCTGGGGTTGTTTTTGTTTTGCTGACTTCTGTTTTGATGGGTCTCATGTTTAAGTGCATTACCTTAACGTCCTGAATAATGAAAGCAGCCTGTGTTTGGAAATGATGAGACAGATTCTGTTCAACAAAAGGAACCTCAACGCAAATTCCCCAAGCAGTGAGTGAAGAGCCCACAAAGCCAGGCATTGAGAAATTTCTCCTTCGGTGATGAATAAAGCGCAACACACCAACATGCAGTAGCAAATATTTAAAGAGGACGTCGGAGAAAAATGAGAACAAATAAATGCTCTGGTGAGCGTATTGTTCCTGTTGTGGCTTGTTTGTTTGGATCCCCATTAATGAATCCGGGGTCGTTTCTCCTCGCGGGTTCACAACAACCTTCAGATGTGCTGTGTAAACACTCTAAACAAGAGCAAGACCCGGAGAGAAAAAACAACAACAAACTGCATATCATAAAAGGAAATAATAGCAGAAGTAACGAGAATAAACACAAGGATGTGAGAAAAAAAAGAGGAGTTAATAGGAAACAGGTGGGCTGCAGGTTAGCAAACATTCAGGAACGTTTCTGGCCTGACGGCAGCGTGGAAAGTCGGACGCCCGGGACGGGATCCCGTCAGGAGTTAGACGGACTGACGAGTCTCAGTCATCTAG